CCGCCCCGTGTGCCCTGGGAAGCCCTGGAGGACAGGCCTCTGCCCTGTGGCTTGGCTGTTAGGACAGGTCAGGGAGGAGGCAGAGCCACAGAAGCCCTGGTAACGGGCCCCGCGAAGCCCCAGCGGGGCCTCTCTTTAGTCACAGGCTGCTGGGAGGTCCCGTACAGCCAGGCTTTTGCTCTTAACATGAAAAGACGGAGGGAGGCGTGATGGAGTAACACGTGGAAAAAATAAAAGTAACAACACATGGTAGTTACTGGGTCCCCACCGTGTTCTAGGCACCGTGCTGGGGGCTTCACGGGCCTCACCTCACCGGACCCAGTGAGGGAGGGAGGAACTGGTGACTGTCCGCCCTCCCACGTGCAGCCAGGAAAGCAGCTCTAGGAGGGGTCACGCAGTGTTACGCAGCTGGGACGTGGTCCCCAGGGCCCGTGGCCGTGTCGCCCAGACACATGGGGATGGAAGCGCTTGGCTCTTTTTGGCCGAGACTCCGTTCACAAGCCCCTGTTGTGGGGGAAGTTAGGGACTTCCTGGTCCGAATCCCCCTGAGAATAAAACTTTTGAAAAGGAGTTGGCTGAATCAGAGGGAAGGGGATGGACGAGAGGAGTCAGGACAGGTGACGCGGGGGGACAGCGGCACGACTGGCATGGTTGTTGGGGGAACAGGGGTGCCTTTCAGGGGTATGTGTCCAGGGAAAATCTAGGAGACACGGGGGCCGTTGGTCAGCCCGTCGGGAGCAGGGGAAGGCAAGTATCATAGGAAGGGGTGCACGGAGGGGGCCCGCAGGGCGGCCAGTGTGCTTCCAGGTACTGCAGTCACACAGCGTTAGGGGTTCGGTCGTGTCCTCCCGCCCGATTCCTATGTTGAGCTGCTAACTTGCAACACCTCAGGGTGTGGCCTTATTTGGAAATAGGTCCATTGCAGGTATGATCAGCTCAGTTAGAATGTGGGCATCCCAGAGCAGGGTGGGTCCCATATGACTGGTGTCTTTATGAAAAGGGGAGATTTGGACACAGACACGACACACAGACAGAACGCCGTGTGGGCACGAAGGCAGGGATCAGGGTGGTGTCTCTCCCAGCCAGGGAAGGCCAAAGATTGCTGGCAAACCACCGGAAGCTGGGAGAGGGGCCCAGAACAGACTCTCCTTCCCAGCCCTCAGAAGAAACCACCCCTGCCGATGCCTTGGGCTCAGGCTCCCGGCCTCCAGAACTGTGAGACAGGGCCTTTCTGCTGGCGAAGCCACTCCGTTTGCGGTATTTTGTTGCAAAGTAATACACGTGGCCGCACGTCAGATGGCTCTGCGTGCCATAGAGCCCTTTGATTTTTGAAACCTTGCTTTGTAGAAGCTGAGAGGGCCTGTTTAAAAAAAATGTTTTTTAATGTTTGTTTATTTTTGAGAAAGAGAGAGAGAGTGTATGTGTGAGCTGATGAGGGGCAGAGAGAAGGAGACACAGAATCTGAAGCAGGCTCCAGGCTCTGAGCTATCGGCAGAGAGCCCGATGCGAGGCCCGAACCCATGAACTGTGAGGTCTTAACCTGAGCTGAAGTCAGATGCTTAAACGACTGAGCCACCCAGGCGCCCCGGAGAGGGCCTGTTTTAAAAAAAGTTCTCTCCTCTCTCTCTAACAGAATGATAACATGCACATAGTTTAAAAGTAAAATGGAGGGGCCCCTGGGTGGCTCAGCTGGTTAAGTGTCTGACTTCTGCTCAGGTCATGATCTTGTGGTGTGTGATTTCAAGCCCCCTGTTGGGCTCCACACTGTATGGAGCCTGC